AGTCGATCAACACCTCAGTGACGTCACCCTTGCTGCGCAAGGGGAACACCATGGTGTAACGCGAGTAGTCGTCAACCACCAACAGGAAGTAACGCTCGTGACCCTGGCCACAGACGCGTGCAGTGCCCCACACGTCCATGTGAAGAGTCTGCAGCGGAGCCTCTGTCAGAGGAAACTCGAAGGAGTGAGGGGCGGCGCGCTGCCGCCCCTCGACGCAAGGAACGCAGGTAGGGGCAGGCCCCGGAGGGAGGGGAGGGAGGGAGCGGGGGAGACCAGAGACAAGGTAACGGGAGGCCATGCCTCGGAGACGAGGCAGGGAGGGGTGACCAAGGCGGTGGTGCCAGAGGAGAGTCTGGTGGGACAGGAGACGACACGAGCAGGGAGCAGACTCAGGACCAGACCTGGACGCTGCAGCAAACACCTGACCCGACGCAGCTACCTGACCAGACTCTGCAACCGGAGGAGACTCAGTAGTCAGTGTGTACAGGCTCGACCCCGGCTGACGGGTAAACGTGGCCAAGTGTCGGCTCGTCCGAGCACACGTACAGTGGGTCACCCGCTGACTCCCAGGAGTGAACTGGTCAACCCCCCCATCCCGTAGATCAGCACCACTCACCAAGTTGGTAGAGAACGAGGGGAGGTAGAGACCGGACAGGGTTCCAAAGGGGGCTGCCGGACACGGTAAGACAGTGGAGAAGTGGGCAAGGACAGGACCCCCAGAGGGGTCCGCCAGGGAGACCGCAACTGGCTGACTAAGCGGCGTAAGTGTGGTGCGGTCTCGAAAGAAGGAGCGGGAAGCACCCGAGTCAAGGGTGAAGGTGTGCAAGGCCTGAGCCGACATGGTACCTGAGAGAGCAGACTCACCAGCATCTGGGGCAGCAGACGCACTAGCACCGAGAGAAGCAGCCTTACAAGCACCTAGAGCAGCATCCTCACCAGCACCTAGAGCAGCAGCCTCAATGCCCGGGTCAGGCGGAACACACAGGTAACAGTCACCCTCATCACTAGTAGACACAACATACATGGCAGCAAGAATGGCATCATAATCTAGATCAAAGATAGCAACCCCCGACCTAAGCAGCTCGCCCCAGTGGGGGATCTCAGTGGCGTCAGGGAACTGGAGACGCCAAGCGTCCGTCAGGCGGCCGAATCAGCGCTTGGTGGTGTGCGGGCAACTGCACAGCTCACCAGTGCGGTCGCCGGTACGGAGGACGTAGGCACAAGGACCAGTACCCCCACCGCGCTGACGCGCAGCATACCACTCACCAAGCTGCTGGCGGGGTGGGGTTTTACGAGTGCGCTGCTGCTGCTTGCGATGACCACCACCGAAGCCGCCCCGCTGCGCAAAGCCACCCCGACCAGCTCCACCTCCGCCACCGCCACCTCCGCCACCGCCGCCACCGCCTCCTCCTCCGCTCCCACCGCCACCGCCGCCGCCGCCTCCGCCTCCACCACCGCCACCGAAGCCCCCACCCCCGCCACCACTCCCACCGCCACCCCCACTCCCTCCGCCTCCTCCACTGCCACCTCCACCGCCCCCACCAGCCCCTCCAGCGCCCTTGCCCCCCTTGCCCTTGCCGGTGCGGCGTCTCCTGCTAGAGGCAGACGCAGCGTCGACCGACTCGGTGCCAACGAAGTCGACGGCAGCAGCAGAGGCAATAGAGGGCAAAAGGGGGGAGGGGGAGCACCCCTCAAAGAAGGGGGCACGAGGGTCACCACGAGAGGCTCCTACAGCGACTATACTCTTCTCAGCTGCCAGGAGGCGCTCCTCGAGGAGGTCAACGGTGAGTGTGGTGGGGCAAACAGAGAGGAAGTGGTCCCTGACCGAGCGAAGGGAGTCATGGAGCCGGGTGACTATGTAGTAGAGGGTGATGTACATGGGGGGGGGGGGGGTTCTTGGCGCAGAATTCAGCAGGAAGTGCAGCGCGGTAGCGGGTGTCACTAGTGCGATGGTGCGTAATGAGGTCAGCGACTGTGGGAAAGGCGGCGAGGTCAGGAAATAGGTACGGCAGCATGAGGCGGCTAAGGGCAGCAGTGGCAGGGGAAGAGTAGCGTGCAACTACAGCGTCGTACAAGGTCTTAGCACTCTTGTACTGACTAAAGTGCGCGCGCTCAGTGGAGGGTAAGTGACTACGCACAGCAAGACTAGCAGCAGCATCGCGTGTGGCCCACTGTGAGCGAACAGTGCTGTCAGCATCGGCAGCAGGGGCTGCAGAGGCGCCAGACGTGAGATCGAACAGTGAGAGACCGTCCTTCCTATCGCACTGTAGGAAAAGCTGTCAATCATCGACCCAGACCTCAAAGTCAACAACCCGACCCTCAGCATCAAAGACTAGAACGCTAGGGGTAGCCATGACAGCAGTGGCAGCAGGCTAGGGGCAGCAGTAGCAGGCGTGGCTCGGCAGTGCTCTCACCAGGGCTGGTAGGTAGGGGCCGGCAAGCGGTGGGGGAGGGCCGAGGCGCGTCGGTAGGGACAGAGCCGCGACCGCGGCGGTAGCTCCTGCTGTTAGTGGCGGCAGCAATCGCGGCTGTCGGCGGCGTCGGCTGCTGCTGGTGGCGGCCATCGCTGCTGTCGGCGGCGTCTGCTGCCGTCGGCTGCTGCTGGCGGCGGCGGCTGCTGCTGCCGGCGGCGGCTGCTGCTGGTGGCGGAGGAGCCGAGAATGGGCCGGGAAGGGTGGCGACGGGGCCACGAAGGGCGGCGACGCGGCCGAGAAGGGGCCGCGAGGGGCCTCGAAGGGCGGCGACGGGGCCGCTAGGGGCGGCGACGGGGCCGCGAAGGGGCTGCGAGGGGCCTTGAAGGGCAGTGACGGGGCCGTTAGGGGCGGCAACGGGGCCGCGAAGGGCGGCGACGGGGCCAAGAAGGGGCGGCGACGGGGCAGCGAAGGAGCCGCGAGGGGCCTCGAAGGGCGGCGACGGGGCCGATAGGGGCGGCGACGGGGCCGCGAAGGGCGGCGACGGGGCCGCTAGGGGCGGTGACGGGGCCGCGAAGGGCGGCGACGGGGCCGTAACGGGCGGCGACGGGGCCGCGAGGGGCGGAGACGGGGCCGCGAAGGGTGGCAACGGGGCCGCTAGGGGCGGCGACGGGGCCGCGAAGGGTGGCAACGGGGCCGCTAGGGGCGGCGACGGGGCCGCGAAGGGTGGCGACCTTGCCACGAGGGGCGGCGACGGGCCGGGAAGGGCGGCGACCGGGCCGCTAGGGGTGGCGCGAGGGGCCGTAAGAGGGGCCTCTAGAAGGGTGCGACGGGCCGCTAAGGGCAGGGGACGCGATGAGAGGGCGGCCCACGGGGCGCGCCTCGGGCAGGGGCGACTCGCGCTCCGGTCAGGAAAAAAAAAAAAATCGATTTTCGAGTGGTGGGCCCTAGGAAGCGTTCCCACTAGGGAACCTGCTCTATACCATGTGAAGAAATGAGGAAATGAGAATGTCTGGGTGAAATGTGGGTACAAGTAGAAAACCTAGAAATGTTGTACCCTATAGTATCTACCCCACTACAGCCTAGATAGACCATAGCATATAAACTTGACATTGACTCGCCGGTCTGCACCGAAATCGTGATGTGAGGCTGACTTCTGGCCGCATTCGTCGCTCCGGGGTGTGTCGTGCCGTGGTCGTCGTCTTCGTCGTTGCGGACGAATCCATCACTAGCCGAGCTCGAGGGTTGCCCCACACTTCCGTGTTGTGATGCTTGTCGTGCGGGTTGTCCCGGTGTACCCGGTGCTTGCGATTGTGCTTGTTGTGCTCGTGGGACGTCATTCTGCAGGGATGTACATTCTGCCGTCAGGCGCTGCAATTTCTTCGGAGCTTTCGTGCAGCTTCTGCAGCAGTTAGTTCAGACGCTCCTGCGTGAGGCTCGTGACGTCAATGTGCTTGGCCATATCGAAGGGCGTCGGCTCAGCTTAGTTCTAGGCGCAGTCATGGCTGCACGCGTTTACGAGAGAACGCGAGGACAGCGGCTCCTAGGGGCTGAGGGGCGTGAGTCCCTTCGAGCAAAAATCAAAAGTTGATTTCCTGGGGTGCGGAGATGTGCGGTCCGAAAAGAAAGTGGCTTTGATAACCAAGTGTTATGGGTGCAATGGAATGAGGTAGCGAGGATTGCACTATGTGAGTCAAAAGTACCAAGTATGAGCTAAGGCATGAGCGAATACTTACGGTTGCGAAAACATGCAACGGTTACGCGGTGCGTGCGAGCTAGCTAGTGCTAGGCTGGCATCGAGGTTCGGGCTAGCCCCGAAGCGTAGGCCGACTCGGCCGGGCCAGCAGTGCATGGTTTGGTGAAACAGTGCGCGCAAATTTGACCGGGCGAACACTGGCCGCTGCTATACGCCATGTTGCTGGTCGCGGTAAGGAATGTCGAGAATTTTTCTTACACTAAGTTTACTGTGTGTGTGTACCTAAAGTTTCGTGGTTAAGTTTCATGTTGCAATCACGAGTAAAAAAAACAGTGGCATATGGGATGGGTTATTGGAAAGTACGAGAAGAGGTGGATCACATTTAACAACAATGTATTAGCAAAGCATTAAACATTTGAATAGCATAAAAAAGAAGTTCATCTATGTCCAACAACGCCTATGTCATAGCCATGAGGGGAGGCATGTAGTGAGGCTGACGAATGGGGCAAATCAACCATTGCCCCGTCACAATTGCTAATGCCTATCTAAAAGCTGGACCCAAATCAAGTAAAGGGTGTGGCATAAGGGAGGGACTGGCATAGTAGAGGACAAGGCTGAGGATGGGAAATGGCAGAGGCCCAGGGGAACGGGATAACTGGTGTTGCCTGGTCGCCAAGCCGTTGAAAAGCTAGATGTAGGAAGTATCAAGAACCTGAATAGGAATTGTATACACCTTCGCATGTCAGGTGAGCACTGCTCTAAAGCAAGTGATGTTTGGGAAGAGCGGGAATGAGAGTGGCAAAACGGGAGAGGCAGGCACCCTTGGTTGTCCCATCATTCCATACCATACCCTGATGCACCTCCTTTTGACTTCCCAAATTCCCGTCCCCTCTTCAGCGGTTAATAGCAGCCGAGTTTTCGGCCGGCCAAAAGGGTATTTTAGACGCTCTTAATACACTCCCATCCATGCTTCGTGCATGTTTTGAAGACATAGTGGCTGCTGCTGCTGACGGTCCTCCTGCTTCCGTTGAACCTCCTGCCATTCCACCTACTCCCACTCCCACTCCACCACCACCACCACCACCACCACTAGCACCAGCAGCAGCACCACCAGCAGCCGCACCAGCAGCAGCAGCACCACCAGAAGCAGCACCACCAACACCAGCGGAAGCAGCAGCACCAGCAGAAGCAGCAGCAGCAGCAGAGGAGAATACTGCACCGTTGAAACTAGCTCTCGGGCTTGACGGATGGCGCACCCTACCGCCCCCAAAAGCCTTGCTGCTGCCGCCACCACAGCCCTTCCCGCTGCTCCCACCCCGAGAGAACGCCACTGCAAAGACGCTATTCCGTCCCCCCTCCCAACCTCCTCCTCCACCTCGCCCTCCTCCTCCTCCTCCTCCTCCTCCTCCTCCTCCTCCTCCTCCTCCTCCTCCTCCTCCTCCTCCTCCTCCTCCTCCTCCTCCTCCTCCTCCTCCTCCTCCTCCTCCTCCTCCTCCTCCTCGGTCTCCTCCCCCGTTTTTGTCGCCACGAGTCCCTGGTACTGGTGCTGGTGTTGGTGCTGGTGCTGGTGCTGACGTGTCCACTGCAGCAGCCCCGTTTCCGCCGTTGTTTTCCTTGTTCTGCCCGTTGTTCTGCCCATTGGCGCCAGGTGCTTGGAAAGCCGACGGTAAGGCACACGGGCCAGCAGGAGTAGCAGCGCCTCCAGTAGCAGAAGCAGCAGCCGCGCCAGCCGCAGCGCCAGAAGCAGCAGCAGTGGAGACACCAGCAGCAGCAGAAGCAGAAAGTGAACCGCTGGAGGAATGCAGGTGAGTAGAAGCATGGGCGGCGGAGGAGCCGGCATGGTGGTTACCACAAGGAGCATGGTTACTAGAGGCACCATGCCTCCTGTGAGAGCCTGTTGCGCGCCGAGCAATGAGAGAGAACGGAGCTAGGGCCGCACCCACGTTGTGACTCAGCACTGACAAATGCCCGTGCCCGTGCACATGCCCATTGCCCTGCCCGTTTCCCTGCCCGTTCCCCTGCCTGTTACCGTGCCCACTGCCATGCCGGCGGTAAGATCCATTCCCCTCCCCGCATCCTTGCCCGTGCCCGCGCCTTGGCGCAACTACTTCCGCCTGTAGCCCCTGCGCGCCCTGCTTCTTCTGTCCCCCGTGGGCACTTCCCCCGTGCAGTCGCTCCCCCCTCGACGGGGTCGTTCCGCCATGCGCGGACGAGAACAGCGCGCGCCGACAGCCTTCCGCCGCGGCAGCAGCCAAGGCGGCGGCCGCGACCGCCGCCGCCGCAGGGCGCGCGTGCGCGGAGCGGGAGAAAGGCCCAGCGGGGGACTGAGGGCGGGAGGGCATGGGGAGAGGCTCAGGCGGGGGGGAGAGAGTTCCGGGGAGGTTGAAACTGGTAGAGGTGGGGGTGCCAGCGGGAGTGAGCGCGGGGGATATGGGCGTGCGCGGAAGATGTTCCGCAGAGGGGCAATCCAGTAGCTCTGGCAGGACGACACTCAGGGGGACGAGCTTTGCCTTCCGCTGCTGCTGCTGCGGCTGCTGCAGAGGGAGATTCTGCGCGGGAATCGGATGGCCTTGCGCCTGCGACGACAATCGCGGGGACGGCGCGGGGGACTGCGGAGCCGACAACGGCGCCGGATGCTGCTTCCCCTGCTGCTGCGGGGACGACGGCGGCGGCTGCTGCTGCTGCTTCAGGTACGGGTTCAGCTGCTGCAGCGCCTGCTGCTCCTGCGCACGCTGCTGCTGCCGTATCCGCTGCTGCTCGCGCCGCATCTCTTGCAGCGCCTGCTGCCGCTGCAGCTGCTCTAGCTGCTCCTCCTTCTCCCGTTCCTTCCATTCCTCCAGAGCGTCCGAGAATTGCGTGAGGCTCCGCCTGCTAGCCACGGGCCATGCTTCCTCTAGAGCGGCGGCGGCGGCGTCCGCCCCGCTCCCCGGACCGGCCGCGGCCGTTGCGCAGCCCGCAACGCCGCCGCCGTTGCCGGCGGAGCCGCTGCCGCCGCTGCCGCCGGCGGAGCCCGCGGCGCTGCCGTTGAGAGACGAGGCGCGGCTGTTAAGCGCGCACGTCGGCGCCCCGCAGCATTGGGACTTCAACCAAGGGTGCTCCAGCACGTTGCGCGCTTTGGGACGCTTACGTGGATCCACCGTCAGCATCTGACGGACGAGATCCTTCGCCATCGACGACACGTGTCGCCAGACCGCGGCGTCGAAGTTGATGTTTCCACGTAGGATCGACCGTTTCAGCCCCTCGTCGTCGCCGTGAGTTTTACCCGCGAACGGCAGGCGGCCGGTAAGTATTGTGCAGAGAACCACTCCGAGAGACCAGACGTCCGCGCGCTTTCCGTAACGCTTCCCCCGAACCATCTCCGGGGCCGTGTAGTATCGACTCCCCGTAAGTCCCGTCGCAGTTTCCCCCGACCCAAGCTCGATTGCAAGCCCAAAATCTGCGAGCTTAGTAGAAACTGGCCGCAGTTGCCGCTTGGCCAGATCCCCGCTGCGTCCGCTGCCGCCTTCCCCGCTGCTGCGGCCGCCGCTGCTGCGCGGGCGCCCGCCGGGGCTGCTGCTGCGCCCGCTGCCGCTGCTGACGCTGCTCCCGCTGCCGCGACTGCTGCCGTTGCCCCGGTGGTTGGTTGTTATTCCGTCGCTGCTGCTGCCGCTGCTGGTGCTACACCCATCAGTGGTGGAATCCGGTGCTGGGGCTGGGGTGAGAAATAGGACGTTTTCGGGCTTTAAGTCGCGGTGCATGACGCCTTGCGCGTGGCAGTAAGCAACGGCCGTCGCGAGCTGACGGAAAACCGCGCAAGCGTCTCGCTCTTCGAAGGGACCGCGGCCTTTGATCTCGTCGAACAAATCTCCCCCTTCGCACAGCTCCATGACCAGATACACGCGCGACTCGTCCTCGAACACGTCCTGTAATTCCACAATATTCGGATGCCCCGCCATTTGCTTCAGCAGCCGCACTTCACGGCGAACGTCTTCCACGTCAGCATCGTCTCTTAGCTGCTCCTTGTCGATCACTTTACACGCGTATCGGAACCCCGTGTGTCGGTTGCGACATTCGTGCACGGCACCGAATGAGCCTTTCCCCAGGCGCGTGCCTAGATCGTAGTCCTTGGTTATGTCGCGGCCTGTGACGGGTAATCCGACGCACGCCCCGCCTCCTCCCACGCCGCTGCAGCCGCCGCCGTAACCGGCGGGAGGTTGCAAAACCTCGACCGCCATCACGACAATGGTAAGGTAGAGTTCTTAGTGAACAGTTTAGAGAAGTAAGACCACGCGCAGGGGATTACAGTAGCGGCTGTCGCAGCAGCAACGGGATTTAATCGGGAGTGTGCAGTGGATGCGCGTTTCTAATGACCCCTAGTTCGAGGTGGAAGTTAGTATGATAGCTGAAAGCGTTAGATCCTGCCGTCTAGTTAGGTAGTGGTCAGATGTAGGTGATGTTTCTCCAGCAGTAAGCGGCTGCTTTCAATCTAATGAAAGATTTATCAGCAAATCTGAAAAGGAGAAGTATTTCTGCCTGTAGGTTGCAAAAGCAATACGCACTGGCAGGCACCTCGAGGGTGCCGGTAACTTGCAAGGTAGTTGCGTGGTTTAGGAGGATGGAAGAAACATACAATGCACCGGACTGAGTCAAAAGCTTCAGTCTGAGCTAGTCGAATGCTGCGGTGACTTGGATCCAACGCGTTAGCTCAGTCACAGAGCGCCTAACTGGCTTGCGGAATCCTTGAAGCAGCATAAGGCGCTGGCGCAATTAGTGTAGAAAGGAAATACGGGGTCGAGAGGGGCCGTCGTGTGGCGTCGCAGTGTCAAGAGGAGTCGAGGGAGGTGAGATGGGACGACAGGGCAAACGACGGGATCAACCAGTCCTGCTGAATTTCTTCAACGGAATTGTTTTTCGGTGTCGGGCAGATTTTGTCCAACCCGCTCAATCTCGTACTGTAATGTAAAAATTTATTTACATCACAAAGCGCGGAAACACTCATGGATTACATGTATTGTACTTCTGGGGTGCGGTTACTCATAGAAGAAAACCCTGAGTTACAAGCTAGAAACCCCTGGAACCTGGTTCACATGCGTCTGTTTCTCTCACCGCTATTCCACTCCCTTCCAGATTACAGGAACACGTTGGCCAGTAAAAAGGGGTCACAACCAACCAGCACACGCTACCCAGGGTTCCCGCGTTGGGTGTCAAGAGCCTAATTCATGCCTCAGCTTCTGGGTGCCCAACGTCACCCGCGGCAAATTGAGAGAATTTGAAATCAAACCGAACAAACGGTTTGAACCACTTTGAAACATTCCCCCTGCCCTGCAGTCACAGGTTGACATTTCGCGTCTCGGAGTGGAAGTGCCAGCCATGCGGCTCGAGCGTCAGTTCGGTTGTGCGTCTCGTACACTCGGTTGGGAAAATACAAAGCACTTTTGATCAACAACAATGTGCCAACCAGTCATGTGTGTTCCCTCCAGAAAAAACGTCCAGCTATGCATGAGGCCTCTGCCAACATCAGCTTCCCATACCCTCCGAGCCTAGGTCTCTCCCCTCGGCAGCAGCACAGTTGGCATTGGGCATGAGAAAAAATACATTCTCTGTTAACACACTCTGTTATTCTATGCAGTGCTGCAATTAATAGCTCAGCATTCTTAACGCATCTGTCCTGTGATTTTACACTTCAAAATATGCCACTTCAAAATCTGCCTCACTTTCCACTGTTTTGATATCTATTACTGATATTATGGGTGTTATGTCTAATAGTTGTATCACTCGAAATTATCATGAAATCAGATGATGAGCTCTTTCTTAGCGCAAACTGGGATTGTCGCAATAGGAGTTTCGCGATGATTAATTAAGAACGACATTAAATCGTAACATTTGCTAACTGCTTGGGAGTTTGGCACCACCTTATAATGATTCAGCTTTCGGCATCCAACTCCATTGCCATTCAGCTAGCGACCGTCTAAATAACTAAAATCTTCTTTGAGTGCCATAAATACTTATGTTCATTGCATGGCGTTTCAAGATGTGCTGTGACGGTACCATAAATGAGACACAATTACCGTAGGTTCACAAGGGACTGTAGATGTCTACACTTTGAACAATTTCAAGCAAATGTCTAGTTGGTTGGGAGTTCATAGCCTGCCTCATCTACAGAGGGAGCTAAAACATGCTGGAATAAAAAGGCTGTAGAAACTGGGAGCCTAGAAATACCAAGTGAGACATGCGCGGAAGCACAGGTTCTTTTTATGCAGATTGTTCGGCATGCGTCCCTCCTCTCCTCCTCCCAACACGGTCAGCCAAGCGACTGATGATCCTGCCATCAGTTCATAACAGCAGCAGCAGCAGCAGCAGCAGCAGCCGCAGCAGCAGCTTTAGCAGCAGCCGCAGCGGCGGCGGCAGCAGCGGCGGCAGTTTCAGGAGGCATGGGCACGACAGGGGGCGGGTTGCGGAACACAGCAGACATGGGGAAGGTGCTGAGCTCAGTTGATGCTGCAGGGGCCTTCATCCAAGCAGGCTTTCTGCTTCTCCCCCCACTGCCGCTGCTCCCACCACTGCTCCCACAGCCACTGCTGCTGCCACTCCTGCTGACGCCACTGCCTGGTGCGGCAGCTGCTGTTGGTGCCTCTGCTGCTGACCCTGATTTCGACCCGCGGGCTGCTGGGTGGGTATTTGCACTCACACGGCCGCCCTCCCCTTGTCCGGAACCCTCTACTCCCTTCACCTGCTCCTTCCTGCTCCCTTTCCCCGCACTCCCACTCTCCTGCACCTGCGCCTGCGCCTGCTGCTGCACGCCCTCCCTCCTCCCCTGCCGCGGACCCGCCTTGGGTGTGACATGCAGCAGCGGCCGCTGCCCTGCAAAGGACGCAAACGTGCTGAACTGAACGATCTCTGAGTCAGGGCTAGGCACGTGCATCTGCGGCACCAAGCGCGTCCCCCTCGCACCCCCTCCTCCTCCTCCTCCGCCTTCTCGCCTTCCGCTGCCGCCGGTTCTCCCTCTGCCCGCCTCCCTGCCTGCATCCTCACCCTTCACTCCATTCTCAAACCGCACCTTGCGAGGTCCCAGTTCCTGCTCCTGCTGCTCCTCCTGCTCCTTGTGCTGCTGCCGCTTCTCCCTCTCTTCCTTCCCTGCCTCTGACCCCTTTCTCCCAGTCTCCTCTGCCTTTCGCTCCCCTTCCGCCGCTGCTGCTGCAGCAGCAGCTGCTGCTGCCCTGGCACCAGGAGGGGGAGGCAGCGGCGTCGTGTTGTGAGAGGAAGGGAAGAGCGCGGAGGGTTCATCGTGGATTGAGGGCGATAACGCCAAGTCGATACCACCATATGCTGCACCAGCAGCACCAGCAGCAGCAGGAGCAGGAGCGGCAGCAGCAGCAGGAGGGGGCTTTGGCTTCAGACCTAGAGCTTCCTCTAAGTCAATCTCCCCAACGGGCGAGTGGGAGAAGGAGAAGGACGAGAACGACTGCGCTAGCGCGGACGGCTCGGGGGCGAACGGGTTGTTGGGCGCTAGGGGAAACGGCTCCCCCACGGCTGCTGCTTGCGCGAGCGCCTGCGCGGATGTGCTGTTGCCGAAGGTGCTTATAGCTGGGTTGGCGGTGGGGCCGAGGGACTTTGAGGTAGCATCGACCTGCCTCAAGAGGTGTTGAATGCGGCCCACCTGGGTAAAAGGGGAAAGAGAGGGGGGGTGACGAGGAAAGGGAAGATGGGGAAGGGGGGAGGGGGGAAGGAGGAGCAAGGAAGAACGCGGATAAAGAAAGGGACGGGAAACGGGAGAAGCAAAGGCTGAGAGAGAGACAAGGGAGGGGAATATCCGATGGATGGAACGACAAGGGAGGGGAATATCCGATGGGTGGAACGACAAGGGAGGGGAGATAGTCGGAGGCGCAAACCTCACGTTTCTCGGTGAGGCGCGTTGCTCAAGGCACGCGCCTTACCTGCCGAAAATAGACCCGCCTTACGGCTCCGCCATAGGCTTGCGAACGACGTTACGATTCCGCTGCACCTTTCGCCACGCTCGTTGCGCCTCACCTGCACCATTCGCTGCGCTCGTTGCGTCTTACCTGCGCCTTTCGCTGCGCTCGTTGCGTCTTACCTGCGCCTTGCGCTCCGCCGACAGCCACGGCGGGAGGTCCGTCAGCGCGTCGAGTCGCAGCAGCAGCCGCATCAGCCCCTCGCTCGCCGCAATGCACGCCGTGCTGTCCGCCGGCCTCCCGCCGTGCGTTCCTTGCAACGCATTCACCTGGATGACGCAACGCGCGCCGCAAGCGGGAGACGCGGAGAGCGAGCGGGAGACGCAGAGAGGGAGCGGGGGACGCGGAGAGGGAGCGGGAAGCACGGGGGAGGGGCCGGGCGACACGAGGACACGGAGGGTTACACGATACGGCAACATCATGATGAAGGGAAAGACATTCTGAAGGTGGAAAGAGGAGGGGGAGACGCGGAGAGTGATCGGGAGACGACGGGAAGGGGTATGGTTGACGCATCGCGATGCGACAGCGGGAGTCGAGGAATAGCCTGCTAAATCGATCGCCTAACGTGAACAATCGACGTAAACGGAACGAGCCGATGCGGTGGCGTGACAGATTGAGCGAGAAAAAGCCTCATTTTGTCCGCGGGTCGATTAGTACGATTCGAAGATACCACGTGGTCTTTTCAAATCCGAAATCGACACTGATTCCTCAAGCGCAACACCAACGTGACATAGCTGGTAACGATCGATGAGTTCTCGAGGTCTCGGCGCTGTTGTCCGATCGTACTCACCTGTGTTGCTGCAGCGTCGATATCTGCAGTCAGCGACGCGATCGACGCCTGCAACTTGCGCACTCGCTCTCCGTCCTCTTGCGCCGCGAGTCGCCACGCCGTGTCGGCCATATCGGAGATTAGTCTACTATTGGGGCAACGGTGAGTACCGTACCGTGGCGTGCGGTATTGATGAGAACCGTATAATTGGGGCAACGGTGAGAACCGTACCGAGAAGTGCGGGATCGGTGTTTCTTATTATTTTTCCTTTTAGCTAATCTCACTTTATTTGTCGATGAAAACTGTATTCTAAGAAGTCGCCCTCACAGTGACTGCACGGAGTGCCTATACGAAACTCACAGTGGCTGGTCTAAGCACAAGGAGTCAACCTTTCAGGGTGTGCAGAAGAATTTGAACGTTTTGTTCTTCCGAGAAACTTGACTAGGGCTGAGTCAATCGAAACGGACGACCGATGGGGGACAGTCAAGGGATGCGCGATGCGAAGTCCGAGTAGCTAGCTGTGTGTGTTGCTGCTGATCGTTTCCTTCGTTTTTCACTCTCTTGAGCTGGCTGAAGCTCATGTGTCATGACTGGGGTGGGGGCGCGCGCGATCAACGGTTTTGTGTTTGAGTGGGATGAGAAGTAGATTCGAGAGAGCGCGAAATGGGCTGAAGCCCGCCGAGGCAAATTTCTTGTACAGCACGGCGAAAATTTGCAGAAGACGCGTCGCTTTAGGAGACCCCGCGGGCGCGCCGCGCTGACATGAATGGCTGCCAAATTTCCCCGCTGTAGGTTTGAAGGGTTTGAAGTTTTAGTTGAGGCGTAACCAGGTGAAGAGTGTTAAAAGGGGAAGGAGAACAAACCAAGTCCTAAGAGCAGCACAGGAGAAGCTAACCAAACCATGCAGCTCATATTTCCTGATCATTTAAAAATTATCCGCTATCAGAGACATATTGTAACGAAAAGTAATGAATGAAACATTACTATGCACTCCTAAACCGCAGCTAAGGAAGCATGCAGTATCGAGAATGAATGTGAAGGGTCAGAGTTGACTCGAAGCGTCAGACGGTTAGGGTGGATCGGGACCGTCGGAGCAAAAGGCATCGGGCAGCTACAAGCAAGAGGAATTGGGCGGGAACAATTTCGTAACTGTACGCGCCGCACGGTTGGGAATGAATTTGAATAAGGGAATGAACCCCTTAGAGTACATGGCTAGCTAGGTCGATTCGAATTCCCTTGCACTCATATTTATATCTTTGTATTTGCATGGTTTTAGTATCTCAGGCATTTTACATTCCCTCTGCTATTGAGGTCAAAGGCCCACCAACACTATCTAGCTGTGTGCGAACCTTCATGAGGAGATCCTAGGAGCGATTATTTTTTGATTGCAACATGGTATGAGAGCGACCCGGGGATCCTTCGCACAGCCATCTCCGAAATCTGCGACATTCGGAAAGTGGCGTCCGGCACACGATCGCGTGTGAGAATGGCCGGAGGATCTGGTGGTCAGACAAATGTGACAACAGAAGCGCAATCCAACCCGGCTGCAACAAGCGAGGAAATGACGACGATCGGGACCGAAGTCATCGCACAATTACTTCAGCGACTCACCAGCCTGGATCAAGGGCTCCAGACATTGCGGAACGGCGATGCGGGAACCTCCTTGCAACCTACTTAACTGACCCCAAACGGCCGAAATGCCGCCCCGCACACTTTCTCTCTCGACACAAATGGCTCAACCCCCAAGACCCCCCGTCCCAGTGAAGAGGCAATTCTCTCTGTGCAATCAAGGTTTCTCAGCATATCAAAAATAAAGACAAGTGTGTGTTTTGACAGCAGAGACTTCTATACCTAGAGCTTCGAGCTGGAGCTCCTGCTGCACAACGCTCAGATCTTTCACTACTTCGACGGGAGTTACACGGAGCCTGTTGAAGATACCGACGACGCCAAGGCAAGGTACCACAACGAGTCCCTGATGGCGTACGGTATTCTTCTGCGCAACATGTCGCCGACAGAGCAGTTGAATATACGTTCGTACAAAACTTCGCCCGCTCCAGCCCTCGACGCTTGGCGCCACCTGAACGGCGTGTATCAGCCGAAGGACTCCGTCTCTTCGAGCCGGCTGCTCCAGCAGCTAGTGGAGACCAAAATGGCCCCAGGGGAGAAGGCCAACAGTTACATTAACCGCTGTCGGAGTCTTCGCGATCAAATCGTGAAGTTGGGAAGCTCGATATCAGAGGAGATTTTTGTCAACATCGTGCTTCAAGGGCTCGGCCCAGAATGGCGGCCCTGCAAGGCGCTCCTCCGACAGCAGGGGGTCATATCGGAGGCTGCCCTTTGCGCCGCCCTTCTCGTCGAACAATGGGATATGGATCAGCAACGACCAGCGCCACGACGAGAACGTGAACGGCTCGCCTTCTACGCCGACAACACCGAAGAGCGACAGCCGCGGCGCCTCTACTGCAAGATTTGCAGAAATTTCAGGCACTTGGCGGATCGATGTAAATCACGATCTTGTCGTCGCCAGACCAATCCGAGCAACTGGTCCGACCGACAAGACGCACGAGGCGACGTGCGTCCAGCCTAGGGGTATCAACCCCCCGCGCGTAGTCTGAACCCAATGGTTCAACATCAGCAGCAGCAACCGTCATCGTCTGCCCCAGTTCGCAACGTCATGAGCAACATGGCCATGACGGGCAGGTTGCGTCGTCGCCGCGTGCGCTCACCATCACTTGAGCCAGCACCGCACCCAATTGGCGCGTTCTCCAACAATCACCCGTTCAGTCCGCGCCACGATTTCATCGACGATGACGACCAGGACTGGAATCTTCCAGTCCCGCTGCTTAAGAGTCTCCTGCACATACCTGACATGCGGGCGGAGCCACTCGATTGGCTCTCACGCAAGCAGTTTCTCAAATTTGACACACCTCATATTGTCACGCCGCGACTGGCGCTGCTTGCACGTAACGACAGGAAGCGCTACAACACTTTGTACCTGGACAGCTGTGTTAAGATAGTAGCTAAGGCTAAGAGGCCATAGCTAGGTTTTAGGGTATATGAAAGAGAAATAGGAGAAGAAGTGGTTGAACTAGAAAGGAGGGGGATACAAGTAGCAAGCCCAAAAGGGTTATACTCACTTTTGAGTACCCCACTACAGACTAGACAAGCATTTTAATCTGACAAGCTGCTGTCAGAACATATAGCTTACTTGTTTCTGTAGGCTATAGTGGGGTATCCCATAGGGGGTACAACCCAATTAGGGTTTCCTATTTGTACCCACTTCATTTCATAGTCATTCACTCCCGTTCATTCAGTTTCACATGGTATAGAGCGGGTCCCTTCTAAGGACCGTTTTTTTTTGGGCCCACCTACGATCTTTTTTTTCTGCCCGGAGCGCGCCCCATTCTCCTCGAGGCGCGCTCCCCCTAGTGCGCGTCGAGCTGCCCTTGTGGCGCCCCGAGAGTCGCGCGCGCGACTCAATTTTTTTTTCGCGCGCGCGGCCCGGGCCCCACTTCGCGCGGCCCTTACAGCCGCGCCGCGCCGCCCTCTCGGCTCTGCCGCGCCGCGCCGCCCTCAAGACGGCCGCGCGGCCTCTTCGTCGCTGCGGCAGGCCCCCCCCCGCTGCACCTCTGTCGGCCCCGCCGCCGCCTTACCTGACGGCCGCCGCCTCACCTGACGGCCCGCCGCCTCGCCCTCTGGCCCGCTACCTCACCAGACGGCCCTGCCGCCTCACCTGACGGCCCACCGTCTCACCTGCTGGCCCGCCACCTTACCTGACGGCCCCGCCGCCTCACCTGACGGCCCGCCGCCACCTTACCTGACGGCCCCGCCGCCTCACCTGACGGCCCGCCGCCTCACCTACTGGCCCGCCACCTGACCTGACGGCCCCGCTGCCTCACCTGACGGCCCGCCGCCTGACCTGCTGGCCCGCCACCTCACTGACGGCCCGCCGCCTCCCCCGCTGGCCCGCCACCTGATCTGACGGCCCCGCCGCCTCACCTGACGGCTCGCCGCCTCACCTGCTGGCCCGCCACCTGACCTGACGGCCCCGCCGCCTCACCTACCGGCTCGCCACCTCACCTGCTGGCCCGCTGCACCCTGACGGCCCCGCCGTCCCTTGTCCCGGCCCCGCCACTACACTGCAGCCGAGCCGCCCAGCAGCAGCCGGACCGCCCAGCAGCAGCCGAGCCGCTCAGCAGCAGCCGAGCCGCCCAGCAGCAGCCGAGCCGCCCAGCAGCAGCCGAGCCGCCCAGCAGCAGCCGAGCAGCCCGGTACCCGAGCCGCCCGAGCCGCCCGAGCCGCCCGAGCCGCCCGAGCCGCCCGAGCCGCCCGAGCCGCCCCACCAGCCCGAGCCGCCTGCTGCTGTCCTACCCGACTCTCCTAGCCCGGTGAGACTTTCAGCTGCTGCCATGGCCACCCCCAATGTTCTTACTTTTGACGCTGAGGGGAGGGCCATTGACTTTGCCGTCTGGATTGAAGACCTGCAGCTGTACTTACTGTGTGATGCGATAGATGAGGTCTCTCTCTTTGACTTTGTCTCTGGCGCTGTCCCTGCCCCGCCTGCTGATGCTGACTCTGCTGCTCGCTCCAAGTGGGCGACCCGCGATGCTGCTGCACGTCTTGCTGTGCGTCGCCACCTCCCTTCCTCTGAGCGTGCCCACTTTAGTCAGTGCAAGACCGCTCAGGCCTTGTACGACGCTGTAGTTGCACGCTACTCCTCCCCTTCCTCCGCTACCCTTAGCCGCCTCATGCTACCGTTTCTCTTCCCTGACCTCGCTTCCTTTCCCACTGTTGCTGACCTAGTTACCCACCTCCGCGCTAGTGACACCCGCTACCGTGCTGCCCTTCCTGCTGAGTTCCGCGCCGCGAACCCTCCTCCCATGTACATCACTCTCTACTTTCTCGTCACCCGTCTCCCTGAGTCCCTTCGTGTCGTTAGGGACCAGTTTCTCTCTGTCTGTCCCACCACTCTCACTGTCGACCTCCTTGAGGAGTCCCTGCTAGCGGCTGAGAAGAGTATTGTCGCTGTAGGGGCCTCTCGGGGTGACCCTCGCACCCCCATCTTTGAGGGGTGTGGTCCTTCCCCCCTGCTGCCCTCTGTCGCCTCTGCCGCTGCGGCCGACCTCGCTGGT